AAAAGAGAACTGGATAAATTCATGGTGGTGAAGTCCATTAATGGCTATTAACCAGGATGGGTAAGGAATGGTGTCCCTAGCCTCTGTTTGTCAGAGGATGGCGATGGATGGCAGGAGAGAGATCACTTGATCATTGCCTGTTGGTCCACTCCCTCTGGGGCACCTGGCATTGGCCACTGTCGGTAGACAGGATACTGGGCTAGATGGACCTTTGGTCTGAGCCGGTACGGCCGTTCTTATGTTCTTATGAGTTAAGTGACTTGTCCTAGGGTTCCACAATATTAGGGGTCAGAACCAGAAACACAACCTGTGAGTGAAGACCCACAGGTCCCTCCTTTAATCTTTCTAGATATTAAAGTCAACAGAGGTACAACTAGTGATTAATTTTGCCCAGTGAAAACTGTCATTTATTGTTTGATGAGAACTATTTTACTTTGAAAATAATTTGAAAGATAAGATGTTTTATGCAGCAAAAGGAAACCAAGTATTTTTGCATTCTATACAATTTCTTCTCACATTGGTTGATAGTTTAACTCCACCTATGGTCAATGGGAAGTTTGTCACAGCGTTAATATTTTCAAACAGCACAATAAGAAATATAAACTACAATTCTGAGGTCACCTCCCTTTTCATATTTAGTCCTATTCATTATCTCTTCAACTCACGTGTATCACCTTTTCCCTCTCTTTAATCTAGGCTTTTATATCACTATCTTCCAGGTAGCCGAGCACCTTACAAAATTAAATACAAATATTTCAGAGGAACTAGAGTTCTTTTACTTTCTCCTTACCATTACTGATCAGATTTTTGGTTTGTTCATTTTTGTTTCGTTCTGGAGGATAGGGCCAAATTTTTTGGCCGAACTTTTTTCACAATAAATAAATAAATAAATGCAGATTCGGGTTGACCAAAACATTTTGTGAATCTGTGTTGGATTGACCCAATTCTTTTAACTGCAAACACTAAATATTTAAATATGTTTAAAAAAACCTTGAAAATAAAATGTTTTGTTTCAGGTCAAATGAACCATCTGACCTGAAACAATTTTTTTTTTTCAGTACCGAGAATGAACTGAAAAATTAGTTGTTTGCTCTACTGGAGCATGAAATACTATATTCTCTGATTTTTTAACTTGATGTTTCCCCTCAGTCCTGCACAGACGCATTCCCTTTAAGACTGGCTTCCACTGACTGGAGGCTAGGGCTGCTGGCATGACAATGGCAAAAAATCACAGTCATTTTCTTCTAACACTGAACAAATAACTTTATTACTTTAATAAAGGTAACCATAGTCACCCTAAATCTACTCTTTTCTCTACAGAGTTGCTGCCTAGAACCTTCCTCAGCCCCTCTCTTGCCAGGCTTCCCTTCCTGCTATTTTTAAGTTTCCTTAATGCTGGAGATGGTTGCTGTTTGAGAACAGGTGCAGCATTAAAGTATGGAAGAAGTAAAGAGCATGCAACCAGCTGGTGCCACTTTTGTGATCAACTCTTGGGGATGGATAGGGAAACAGGTGAGAACTGCTGGGTATGTTTAGACTGACTCGTCCTCAAATAACCATCCAAGACCCAATTATTTAAATTCAAATGTATTTGGCCAAACCTGAATATAAAAATTTAAGACGAATACTCACTGGCAATAGAAATCTGGTACAATTCTAATGAATATCATGGTTGTAATTTTCCTAACTCCATATTCTGTTGTTTTGAAATATTTATTACTTCAGACGCCAGAAGCAACATCACTCCTCTTCATTCCACATCTCTAATCACCTTCTGAAAGCAAAGTTGCCATTTTCCATAAACTGGAGATCATTTTGCTGCCCAGTCTCACAGCACAGGCTATGTCCAAGAAGCATGAAAAAAAACATTCCTTTGTGAAATGGCTGGACAAAGCTCAAATTGGCTAGCAGGATCCACTGCTGAAGCTTAAGATTTCCTGGCCACCTAAATGCAAGCTATCACACTGTAACTGGTCTGCAATTTTGGCAGCATCTGGATTTGTTTAAAATATTACTGTATTACACACAGTGGTGTACTCTGTGTATTGTTTTAATGTATTTATGTAACTCAATGGTTCCTGTATAAATAATATATGCTAATGTAAAATAAAATTAAAAAAAAAAAAATCTCACTGATTCACACACATAGTATACTGATGTTCAAATTCAGGCACTGGTTTGCACATAAATTGTGGTGTTTATGTGAGGGAAAAAGCCAGGATACAAAGCAATTTCTTTTGATTCACACACACTGATTAGTGATTGAATGATCTGTCTCACTTACACCCAGGAAGGTATGGTGTGGTCCTAGTGGTGGAAATACCAAGGCAGAACTAAAGGCCTATGAGTCTGTGACTGGATGGAGGAACAATTTCAAAGAAGCATGAGTTACAGTTTTATGGAGACACAAGAAACAATGTCAGAGAGATAAGAAGATCAGAGGGCCTGGAATCAGTTGAAGACCAAGAAATGTAGTAAAAACCTCCCTGACAGGAATGTGTCAGGAACACAGCTGATCCAAGAATTTTAAATGGCAAGGGAGAACAATAGAGACAGGAAGTAATGACAGGATCTTCAGAAGTCCCATTAAGAAATCTCCATCCTGGATTTTGGGTACCAAGAACTTGCTCTGACACTAAAAAAATATTAATATTAACAAAATCTAATACTGTTTTTAACAGGGGAGGATTGAGACATAAGGAATCAAAAGTCATGTCTCCTACAATGCAACAGAATTTTGCGTTCTACTTGATTTTTCTTTTAATTGCTTTCATTCCTGAGTGGGTCCCCAAAAAACCAACTGAGCACAGGAACTATATAACTTACCTACTTTGGGACAGGGTGCCATATGCCAGTAAAGTCATCATCATCCTGAGTTAGGATTAAATCCAAATGGCCTTTAGGTTTTTTCCACATTTTTTATTTTTTTAAATGGCCAGTTCATTTACGCTCAGCATAGGAAGAAAAGTTGCAACTGCACCTAGAACCTTGACTGAATGTGGTAAAAAAAAAGGTACAATTACCACTGGTGTGACATGCTAGACAAGAAAGTCTTTGCCTGAACTGGTAGAGGTAGTAGGCGACATTTAGTTTTAATACTGTAACATTTCAAGCAAATATTATTATTCTTGTAACAGGGCAGGCTCCACTCCTGTCCTGAGACCCACACAAAAGCTTTGGACACTTTCTGTTAGCATCTCTGTGAGTTTTATTTATATTACCTCCACCAACATGATCCCATGTAGCAATTCTATCTACAGCTTTCTCTAGTCCTCAACCCTTTGTCCAGGGAGATAGAGAGCTCTCGCAACCCTGAGATCTTACTTCCTCTGGGCTCTGTTAGGGCTTGTCTTCACTTAAAACGCTACAGCGACACAGCTACACCACTGTACTGCTTTGGTGTAGACACTACCTACGCCTACAGGAGGAGTTCTCCCATCAGCTGTCAATAGAAGAATTGTTCCATGCACTTAGGGCTGCCTACATGGGGACTTAGTTTAGGCTAACTACACAGCTCAGGGGTGCGGATTTTTCACACCCTTAAGCAATGTAGTTATGTCAACCACATTTTCTAGTGTACATCAGGCCTTAATCTCTCCCCATTGCACTTCCAGTGCTTTTTAACTACCCTCTCAGCTAACCAATAATTAGCTCCTCTGCTCCACTCTGATTAGGTAATTAACAATTCCACTTCTCCATCAGGAAGGGGACTAAGGAACACTTAAGTGATCAGAGTGCCAAGCCAGCTACTGGCTCTCAGCATGCTGTCAAATCTCTTAAATAGATCTGAAGTCAGAATATACCTTGTACAGCTTCTTTCACAGCAAACAGATAAGACCTAGTAGAGCAGCCCATAGTGTTCCTACCAATTCAGGAGTGTTCTGGAGCTGCCACTATTGTGATCAATGCTTGGGGAGGAGATGTCTAGCGAAATAGGTGTACACATCACATCACATCCCGATAATACCCTACAGAGTCATGGAGTTCAGATTTTATATCTGTCCATCCAATGATCTGGAGGATGGCGTGGACTGCACCCTCAGCAAGTTTGCAGATGACACTAAACTGGGAGGAGTGGTAGATACGCTGGAGGGTAGGGATAGGATACAGAGGGACCTAGACAAATTAGAGGATTGGGCCAAAAGAAATCTGATGAGGTACAACAAGGACAAGTGCAGAGTCCTGCACTTAGGACAGAAGAATCCCATGCACTGCTACAGACTAGGGACCGAATGGCTAGGCAGCAGTTCTGCAGAAAAGGACCTAGGGGTTACAGTAGATGAGAAGCTGGCTATGAGTCAACAGTGTGCCCTTGTTGCCAAGAAGGCTAACGGTATATTGGGCTGTATAAGTAGGGACATTGCCAGCAGATCGAGAGACATGATCATTCCCCTCTATTTCACTTTGGTGAGGCCTCATCTGGAGTATTGTGTCCAGTTTTGGGCACTACAAGAAGGATGTGGAAAAACTGGAAAGAGTCCAGCAGAGGGCAACAAAAATGATTAGGGGTCTGGAGCACATGACTTATGAGGAGAGGCTGAGGGAACTGGGATTGTTTAGTCTGCAGAAGAATGAAAGGGGGATTTGATAGGTGCTTTCAACTACCTGAAAGGGTAGGGTGACCAGACGTCCCGATTTTATCGGGACTGTCCTGATATTTCCTTGTTTGTCCCTCGTCCCGACCGACAT